GGGGGGGGTTGTCATGTCCCCTGCCTGCAGCCCATGGGAGCTTGCCCTGCCTCTGTCAGTGGTGAAGGGAGGGGAGGACAGGTTCCCCATCGGCCTTCCCTGATTGCAAACCCTCCCTGGGCTTCCCCAGCATTGCAGAGGCCGTTACTGTCCCATTGCTCTGGTGTCCCCTAGCCTTAGTACTGGGACTAGGTCTAGCAAGGCCAGCAGCACTGGCTGTGCAGTCAGGGGCTTGCATACCTGCCTGAGCACTTACAGATGCACCCAGGAGGGGTTGCCATATGCTCTGAAGTAGCACATGCCCTGATTTATGAGCCTTGGGGCTCTGGTGGGCATGAACCAAGTCCCCATGTCACAGGACTTTTGGTTGTGTGGGGCTGCCACAGGTCCTGCGCAGCCCCTGGAAGGCACTGGGCTGAGCCGGGGATAGTGCCAAGTCTGCAGTAAACAGCTTAGCCAGGACATCTTCAGGATGAGGAAACCAAGAGCTGGCCAACTGGTGTGCTCTGGCCCCGCAGCCCTGGGGACTGGCAGAGCAGCCCCATGCCAGCGCTGCAGGGCAGGCAGGCGCTGTTTGGGATGCTCGGAGTGGGACTGCCGAGGGGGCAGCAGATAACACAGCTGCCTGCTTGTCCATGGGCAGCCCCCTGGCATTAGTTCTTCCTCCCCAGCACCAAGATAGGACTGCGGGGCAAGACTGGGGGCTGCACAGAGCTGTCCCACACCCAGCCCTTCCCACCACGGGCTCCCACAAGCCCAGCCATCGCCAATGTCCCCAGCCACCCCTCCTTCAGCTTCTGCAGGGCACGGCTGGCCCTGGTGCTGGCATCCCCAGTCCCCTTGGCCAGCACAGACACGGCTGCAGGATTTCAGGCTGTGAAAGGCAGAATTTTCTTATCTGCATGTTTGCAGGCAGTGGCTTTTCCTCTCCTGCTCTGCTCTGACCCTTTGAGCTGGAGATCTGGCTCTGTGGAGCAGCCTGGGCAGCTTTGGCTCTGAGCCTTTCCCGTATTGCTCTCCAGTGTCTCCGAGGCTAGGCAATAAACATTTCCCACGCCTCAGACCCTCTGAAGGGCCTTCTTCCCATTGAACTGAATCCTTGGGAGAAAACAAGACAGGAACGCTGCCACGGAGCAGCGAGAATGGCCTGGAGCTGGGGGAGAGCAAAGGCTGAGGAGCCAGGACTGCCCCTGCACCCGCCGTTCCTCCAGCTCTCACCAGCAGCTGACGGGGCAAGGGCATCCTTGGCGTGTGGCGGTGCAGTGCCTGGCACGGGTTCAATGCAGGAGGCTGAGTGCGATAGCACATCTCGGCCGTGGAGCCGTGGCCATGTCCCCTGACCCACAACACACCGCAGGTGTGGGTTGCCAGGGGGTGAGAGATGATCCCAGCATCCCGCTCCCTGTCCTCCCTTGCTCCAGCCAGGCTCAGCCCTGCAGTGGCTGCAGCCCGGCTGTGTTCGTGCCTCCGCGTCCTGTTGCAGAGGAGGGGATTGTCACTAAATGTCACCTGGCGATTGGGGCTGGCATCTCCCCGGCTGTGGCTCAGGCTGTGTGTGGGCTGGATGAGGGCTTGCTAGCAGCTTTGGGGTAGTCTGTAGGGCCATTTCTGGGGGTGACACCATCTCTCCTAACTGCTTGATGACAGCCACGGGTTATTTTTTTCCCCCAGAGAGTGCAACAATTCGTGTGACAATTACACTGTATAGCGGCTGCTGTTATTGTTCCCAAAATAACCACAGGCACGAGCTGAGTCCTTGCCTGATGAACCTCCCATAGCTGCACACGAGGCAAGAGCTGCCGTGCTTCTGCCCCAGGGATGGAGCTCACACCACTGGCCCCTCTTGCCCAGCCTGCTCCAAGGCGCCCATCACCATGGCCTCTGGTGCCATAGGGTATCAGTGAGTCCGTGGCCCCCTGCTCTTAAGGAAGAGTAAGGAGGGATGTTGCCCACCCAGCTCTGCAGCTGCCAGGCCCCGGAGGAGCAGGAAGGGGGCAGTGGGAGAGGAAGTGGATCCCAGCAGCCCTGCTGGAGTGGGGCCAGCAGCCCGGCATGGCTGTCGGCCCCCGGCCACGGGGGGCTGGGAAAGGGCCCCCCGCTGCTTGAGGTGCAGCTGGGAGCCCCATGCAGGACTCTGCTGCTGTGGGAGGCGTTTAGACAGCCCGCAGAGGCTCCCGTGGAGATCCCTGGGGAGAGCTGAGCACAAACCAGGGGTCCGGCAGAGAGCTGCGAGCTGCTGCTCCCACCCCTGCGATGCCAGTTGGGCTGCAATGGAGCCACACTGTGCATTGCGGGTGTCTCTCCCCTGCACAAGGGGACAACTGAGCAGCTCTGTGTGTGCATACACGGGTGTGCGTCAGCATCAGCTGTGAGTCAGGGCAACGTGTGCGTGGGGGGGTATTTGCAGGGCACGTGCGGGATGCATCGGCACGCATGCAGGAGGGGGCTTGTTTGTAGGATGTACATGCACAAGTGCGTGTGCATGCAGGATGTGTGCGTGCATTCAAGATGTGCACCTGTGTGCAGGGTGCATGCCCCTGCGGGCTAGAAAATGCACATGTGCATGCAAGGGGCGTGTATGTGTCTGTGCGGGTGTGCCTGTGTGCGCAGGATGTGTATGTGCACGCAAGAGTCACACGTGTGCATGAATATATGGGCGGCAAGGTGTGCCTGTGTTTGTGTGCACCCAGCCATGCATGCAGTGGTGTCTGCAACAGAAGCCACATCCCCCGAGTGGGTGTGCAGGCGAGGGGCTGCAGGGGGGTGGGCTGCATCCCTGCCGGAGGCTGTGCCAGGGGGAGGTGCCAGCCCCCCTGCCCAGCATGACCTGTCCCCATCAGAGCAGGCTGCCTTGGCATTCCTCCTTAAGTGCTGGGAAGGAAAGAGAAAGCAGAGCCTTCTGCACTTCCATCCCTAAAAAGCATCCCTCCCCTGGGGGTCTCATGGAGGGGGGCAGCATCCTTCCCAGCCTCACAGCCAGGACCCCGCGCCCCAAGCAGTGGTGGCTGTGATGAGGGCTGTGCACGGCTGGGAAAGACCCCAGGAGGGGCAGCAGGGGAGTCAGCGACTTACTTTGTTTATTTTTGCAATAGTCCCAGCTCCATGGGAAAAATATTGGAGGTGGCAGAGCTGAAGCGATTTCCTCCTGAAGCACTATGCTGCTGTGCTTCCCCGCTTCGCTCCAGCAGTGCGGAAATTGCCGGCTTTTCTCGAGCCCTTAGTGCTCAAGCACTGCGTAGGGAAGGAACAGCGCAGGTCCCCAGGACCCCAAAGCCACGGGGCAAAGGCCACGAGCCAGGCTTCGGTCTGCCTTGGTCCTTGGCACTAATAATTTAGGGCTTTCCTTTGGGAAGGGGGCTGGGCCAGGTCTGAGGGTGCCATAGCATGGGAGATGGGGAGGTGGGGAAACTGAGGTACAGCTGCCAGGAGTTGGAGCAGACTGGGGTCTGCTCATCCTATCTCTCTGCTGCTACCCGCCTCTCTGCAGGAGACAGGAGGTGGTACAAGTGGTGCCGCACACAACCGTGGGAGAGAAAATGCTTCCCCCCTTCTCTCCTGCCCTCTCCACAGTGAGACAGGCACCTTCCCTGAGCTGCGATGGGAAACCGAGTCATGGGACCCTCAGCGTGGGTGGCCTGAGCTTGTCCTGGCTGAGGGGACAGAGCTGTACCCCGTGTCCTGGGGGCTGCCACCCTGCCCAGCACCAGCCACCCTTGAGGACAAGCGCACACAGAGCGCCTTTCATCTGCCCGTGGAGGGGGGCAGCTGCCCGCTCCCCGCTTGGCACCCGCGTGGCTTGGGGTGGCACACTGGTCCACTGGCCCCTGAAAGGGCCGATTGAGCATGGCTGAGGTCATCCGCCCAGCATGTTTACCCCGTGCCCGCGGCCCCGGGATGCAGCCGGCACCCAGGCTGTCCCTGCCACCCGGCGGGCCGGGGGGACGCGGCTGCGGGCAGAGCCGGCATTGCTGCCAGGGAGCAGAGGGGCTGGAGCAGGGTCGCAGGCACCAGCATGGCCTTCCAGCCGCCGTACTCCCCGAGCCTCTTCAGGAGGAGGGACTGGTGAGTAGGGCCTCGCCAAGGGCAGGGTGGGGGGACACCCGCCAGCCCTGGGGCTGGGGGGGACAAACCCCTGCCTGCTCTCCACAGCATCAGCCCCTGCCCAGCGGCTTTTCATGGCCCAGGCTGGTGTTGGCATGGGGGGGATGTGCATCATCCCCCCTGCAGAGAGAGGGATGAACGGGTCCCACATGTGCCACCCCCTGGGATGAAGCTCCCCTTCCATGCGCAATCCCCCCACTGGGGAGAAGGTACTTTCTCTCATCCCCACATCAATCCTGTGTGTGTTGGGGCACCTGCGCATGCCTGGCCGTGGTTCAGGAGTCCCACGCAGGGTGCCTGTGTCCTTCGCCACTCAGGACATTGTGGTGCTCAACCTGCCCTGGGAGGCAGGGGGTGCAGTTTTCTGGGGAGCAGGTTTCCTTTTCTGATGGGGAAATGCCGCTCCACCCACCCTCAGCCCTTTCCCTGAGGAAGGGGCATGGCAGCACACCCACCAGCTGGGCTCCTTGGGCTGCTCCCCATGCTGGCACCCACCAGCCAGGTGCTGTGCACCTTCAGCACCCCGTGGATCAGGGGATTTGGGGTCCTTTGTAGCATCTCTGGGGTGCACGACCCCTGCCAGCACTAATGGTTTCTCAAGTGCTGCGCCGTGGCGTGGGCTCTCCCACAGGGTCTCGTTCAGCATCAGCCCCCACCCTGGTTTGCACAGGACAAGCCTCGAAGGGTCGGTGGCAGCGGGGTGATCACCCGGGTGCTGAGCGAAGTCCCACCAGGTCCAGGTCCAGAGGGCAGAGATAAACCCCGGAGCTGGCGGGGCAGCCCAGGGAGAGCAGCCAAGG